GCAATAGAACAGAATTGCAGAATCTAAACGCTTTAGTGCACAAGTTCTGGGAAGTATATGACTTTTCATGTAGCACAATGAATGACTACAATGATGATGAATTGTCTGCAGTTCAAAAAATTAAACAGACACTTCATTACAACAATGTTCATTATCAAGTAGGTATACCTTGGAGATATGACAATCAGAGGTTACCAGATAATTATAAGATGGCTTTCAATCGTCTTCTTGGCACTGAGCAGAAACTGTTGAAGGACAAAGAGATGGCTGAAGCTTATTGCTCAGTTCTAGATCATTATGGGCAAAAGGGATACATCCGTAAAGTATCACCAGAGGAAAATGAGAGTAAATGGTTTCTTCCTCATTTTCCAGTAGTCCGTCCAGACAGAATTACAACCAAAGTAAGCATTGTATTCGATGCTTCTACCAAGTGTCAGGGAGTTTCACTCAATGACATAATGCATCAAGGACCGAAGTTGCAGAATGATCTTTTTGAAATCTTGCTTCGTTTTAGGAAGCAGCCCATAGCACTTGTTTGTGACATCTCAGATGTACGTACAATTGAGGTGAAACCTGAAGATCGTAAAAACCTACGGTTTCTATGGCCATCCATGAATTCAAAAGAAGAACCACAAGTGTATGAGTTTAACAGAGTGTTGTTCGGGTTGAATTGTTCACCATTCTTCGGGCAATACATTTCACAAGAACATGCAAAAGCACATCACAGTGAATTTCCACTGGCTGCTGAGACTGTAACACACTTCACGTATGGACGATAGTGTGGATTCGGTAGAAGATGACATGACTGGGATAGAGCTGTACAATCAGCTGAATGAGCTAAGGTGCATAAAAGGTATGAACACCCTAAATTGCTTTCAAATTCGTTGGATGTCCTTGATGGAATTCTGTTAGAATCTAGGGCACAGAAGGTAAATATAAACCAAAATGCATTACCTTAAGTGAAAACGCTAGGTCGTATGTGGATTGCAAATGATGATAAGTTCAGTTTCTGTATGAATGTTCCTGAAGACATTGTGAGAATGACCAAGCGAATGTTTCTCAGTGAAATAGCAAGGATCTTTGATCCCCTTGGACTCTTGACACCTTTCACCATTGTGGGGAAGATGATGAATTCAAGATATGTGGATAGCACGTTTCGGATGGGACGAAGAGCTTGATCCGGATCTGAATCTTAGAACTTTGAATGGGTAAATGAGGTTAAAGAGTTGTGCAATATCAGAGTACCATGGTGCTTGAGAATCAAATCTGAAATAGAAAACAAAACATTTCATGTATTTGCAGAAGCACCACAAGATGCATATGGGGCAGCAATATATGCAGTCTATACTTACCAGAGTGGGGAAGTGGTGAGTCGTTTAGTTACATCCAAAAGCAGGGTTGCTCCTCTTCAATCTGTAAGCATTCCAAGAATGGAACTGATGGCGGCAGTCCTTGGGGTAAAAGTGTTTTTTGCTTCAGCAAAAGTGTTAGAAATGTCCACTGTCAACACATATTTTTGGTGTGACAGTATAAATGTGTTATGTTGGATAAAAAGCCAGAGGAGTAATTACTAGTCTTTTGTGGGAAATCACATTGGTTACATTCAGGAACATACCAGTCCATGTCAGTGGAAATATGTTCCATCTCGGGTAAATCATGCAGACATACTTACCAGGGGTACATCAGTGAAGAACATAGCCAGTAGTACATGGCAGACAGGACCAGCATTTCTGACACTCACAGAAAAAAAAATGAATGGCCAGAACAATTAGTTGGATTCCAAAGTGATAGTACTTTAGAAATGAAGAAACTGTCCAGGAAAAGGGAACTTGTTACACTAATGTGTGAAGATGAGGATGATACATGGCGTCTTCATCCATCCAGATACTCTGACTTGAAGCGGTTGACTAGAATATATGCTTGGGTGTGCAGATTTGTTACCAATGCAAGTATTGCACCAAGATTACGACACCTGGGCAATTTGGAGGTTGAGGAAATCGAAGATGAAATGAGAATCATCATTCAGATACAACAACAGGAATTTGCAAAGAGCTTCCAAAAGATAGCAAACTTATTGGACTTCAGCCAACAATCGATGAAGAAGGATTAATCAGATGCAGTGGCAGGCTGAAATATGCTGATTTCTTGGGGAGCACGAGTTCCAATAATCTTGCCTCGAAAAAACTGGGTGACAAGACTTATTGTGAAACATTACCACGAAACTGGTAAGCATGCAGTAGGTACTAATCAAACTTTAGCTGCTCGATCCTCAAAGTACTGGGTCATTGCTGCTCGTGAAGAGATTCGCGCTTGGGACCTCAGATTATGGCTCCACTTCCAAAGCAGAGAGTTAGCTATTCACTGAGAGCATTTACACAAGTTGGAGTGGACTACGCAGGGCCTTTTCTGACTATTCAAGGAAGGTCAAAGAAGAGACAAGGATATTTGTGTCTTTTCACGTGTTTGTCCAATAGGGCTGTACATCTGGCCATGTCATATGGTCTCGATAGCGACTCGTTTTTAATGCTTTCTTCCGCATGATAAACAGACGAGGAATGCCAAAAGAAGTAGTATCTGCTAACTTTGTAGGTGCTGTGAAAGAATTGCGAGATCTGGTTAAACAACTTGATGCGACTGCTAAATCATCCTTGGCTAATAAGGGGGACATCTGTATATTCAACCCTCCTCATGCACCACATTTTGGTACATTTGAATGTATGATTAAGTAAGCAAAAAGAGCTATCTTTGCCATTCTGGGTAAAGGGCGATGTCACGGATGAAGAGCTAAAAACAGCATTTACTGCAGCAGAAGCACTCATCAATTCTCGACCCCTCACTTATCAAAGTGCTAACTGCCAAGATGATGTACCCTTAACTCCAAATCATCTTATGCACGGACAACTTGGTGAAATATTTGCTCCAGATAGTGTTGATACAACGCCATACAACCCCAGAAACGATGGAGACGAATACAAGAGCTGGTGAGGCACCTCCTACAAACTCTTCAAGTCAGAAAGAAGTGGAGAGAGGCTAAGTGCAATCTGAAGGTAAATGTTGTCGTCATCGTAGTGTCACAAGATTCTCCACGTGGAAGCTGGCCTTTGGGGGAGAATCGTCAACACATATCCAGGCATGGATGGGCATGTTTGGGTTGTACAAGTAAATATGGGGAAACTACGCTGATGAGACCGGTGACGAAGGTATGTCCACTCGAGTGGAACTCGGAGGACGACCTGATAGAACATTAAGCAGATCAGTCATGTGGAGGTTCAGGTGAGATATATTCATGCAAGCAGTGGCTCCAGGAGGAACGTCGTCTGGAGGACTCACGAGAAGATCGGCACACTGGGGACGGCTTGAGGATGGATCGTTCGTCGTCTGGATGATCGTATAGAGGATTGAATTCGAAGGATCGTTGAAAAAGGATTGACTTTGGAAGATTCGAATTAGGATACCAAAGGACCATGTTCGAGGAGCAAGAAACAGGATGTGTGTGATGTGATGTGATGTGATATTTATTGAAATGTGCATTTTCATTTTGTGTGATTCATGATTCATGTCTATCAACGGAACATCTGAGGGGAGGGGAGAATGGACTGAAGAACAGGTCATAGAATATTTGAAACACTTCGACCGCAGACACCAGATGCACGCGTTCTCGGTGGAGGTATAGCAGCTGCGTTTTGGAACTTTCAGATGTCTTATAGATGTTTTTGTTTTCAGACAATATTGTAAACGCGCGAACACATAACGCTTCGCGGATACGCCACTGCGCGTGAATTTCATGCATGTTTCTTTTATATAAACGTATTTTGTGATCCTACATCAGTGTGTTAGAGTGTTAGAATGTTAGAGGGTATTAGTATATTAATGTGTTAGAGATTGTTAGTCGAACGAACATCTGTGTGTTAGATGTTACATTATTCGGTCATAATCGGACCTTAGTAAGGTATTGCAGCTTTCGTGCATTGTATTGAATTAATTAGTTCATTGTATATACAAATCAACAATTCAAGGAAAATAAAAGTTGGGTTAAATTAGAATTTTAGTTTGTTTTCGATCCAGTGCAAAACACACAGTGTCAGTATTTCAGCCATATCGTGATTAAGAAAGTTGTAAATTTATAAATGAATAAAAACAAACTTATATAATATACTTACCTGTAAACCCGGGGTATATTTGGTCCACCAACCCGTTTGCCGTGGATTGCGCCCCTGTGTCGGTGGAGGAAGGGAGTCTGGTGGTTGAGGGCACAGGTTCCAGGAACAGTGTTCCTTTGCCCAACACACCACTTCGCCCCTTACTTCACCTAGACGGGTGGTTGAATGGGCCCGGTTCAACCAATCGGCTGGTCATGCCAAGCCCTGTGCATGGTAAATTTTGATTTATTCCAAAATAAACTGTATAGTCTTGGCGATAAATTTTTGTTGAAAACATAGTTATTGAATTGTTACTTTGCCTAGAGTCCTATGCCAGAAGGCGTTGGCTCATGGGCCAATCCGGTAGGACTCATCTTTTCAAGATTTTTCCTGCTTGAGTATACCCTCCTAGTATCCTTGGTGTCGTCTGTTGGAGATCCACAGACATGAGACATCGTCCTTGTTGACACTCCATGGTGGGTGGGGAGCTAGAAGGGTGAATCATATATATATTTCAACCATGGCACCCCACTAAAAGAACGTACACACGAATCTGACGATTCGTCGTCTTCAGAAGATGAAGTCCAAACAACTTTCACCAACCCTGATAATTGGCCTCGATTCCTGGTAATGTGTGCACCTGATGGTGGCCCTCTCAAGTTAAATCCGTTTGCCGTATCAAAGGGCATAGAGGGTTTGGCTGGAGAGGTGAAAGAAATAAAAAAGTTGCGATCTGGTTCCTTGCTAATTGAATGCAGGAAAGAGTTCCAATCAAAGATTCTCCGAAAAACCACATTATTAGCTAATGTTCCTGTGGAGGTGTCCCCTTACAGGACAGTAAATCATAGCATCGTTGCACTGATCTGAGCTGCTACACGTCTCCCGTGAGCTCCAACTATGTCGGCAACAACACCTACTGCATCTCCACAGTTACCGACCACAGCAACGGCAACCGAGACATCATCAAAGGGTACAAAACATCAAACATTGTAATTCATCTGTTCCTAAAAAATAAATAATTTAATTGATCAATGGGTAAGGAAAGCCTAACGTGACTAAAGCAAGGGAGAAAACTCGGTATAGTAAGCTGCCGTTTTTAACCATGTGAAGGAGAAGTAGCATTTGAGAACATATTTTTGTGGCGTCATGTGGTCAGGAAGGCTTGGAGAAATTAGAGGCAATCTACACTGAAATAGTATTGAAAGCGGCGTAAAACCAAACTCACTCACACATGTTCAATGACATTCAATTCAAATGATCCCAGAGTGATAACTCTCTTTTGCCCGGTAGTTTACATGACATCAGGTAAAGGACCCAGTGATGCAGATCTTTACAGTCTTGTTGAAACAAACGAGTACGGGTATGGCGTCGGCATATCTAGAAACACAATCTCGGTGGACCGGATTCGAAGCCACGATCATAGGTTTGTTGCGTGTCCAAGGGACGCAACTCTGCTCCTGACGACTGGACTCTCGTGCCGAACCTTAGCTAAAATGATATACCTGTCACAGGCCTTTGAATAGAGTGACTAAAACAAATTTATCTGTATATCTATCAACTTCCAGATGTGCCTCACTAACGCAGTGCCAGCAGAGTTACTCCGCCACCCGAGCCCAGCCTCGTTGTCTTGGTATTGACCACCAGGTGTCAGGCTATGCGATCACGTGCTCCTTCTGTTGCAAGGGAGATAACTGCAACAGGGGCCCTCACCTGACGCCAACTGAAGGAGTCCAATCCGTGGGGAAGGCGATCGTTGCATAGATGAATTCGATAACATTCAAATACTTGTACATCTTAAGTAACGAGGAATTATTTGTACATTCAATACTCATAAAAGAAATACCCAGATCTAGTGCAGAGCGCGTCAGCTTGCAGTTCGGAATTCTGTGGTTCGATTCCCGCCCGCGTCATACCAAAAGACATTCAACGATGGTACTTCATGTTTCCTTGCCCTATACACGGCATTAATAGGGTCTCATGGTTTCTCAGTGGTCTAGCACTATAAAAAACAGCAACATACACACGCACGCCCGCATGCAAGCTGCCAGTGATTAGTCAGGTTAGAATATGTCCCGGCAGACTGTGGTTAAGCCCGCATGCACGCCGCCAGAGGTTAGTCAGGTTAGAATATGTCCCGGCAGACTGTGGTTAAGCCCGCATGCACGCCGCCAGTGATTAGTCAGGTAAGAATATGCCCCGGCAGACTGTGGTTAAGCCCGCATGCACGCTGCCAGTGATTAGTCAGGTTAGAATATGTCCCGGCAGACTGTGGTTAAGCCCGCAGGCACGCTGCCAGTGATTAGTCAGGTTAGAATATGCCCCGGCAGACTGTGGTTAAGCCCGCATGCACGCTGCCAGTGATTAGTCAGGTTAGAATATGCCCTGGCAGACTGTGGTTAAGCCCGCAGGCACGCTGCCAGTGATTAGTCAGGTTAGAATATGTCCCGGCAGACTGTGGTTAAGCCCGCATGCACGCTGCCAGTGATTAGTCAGGTTAGAATATGTCCCGGCAGACTGTGGTTAAGCCCGCATGCACGCCGCCAGAGGTTAGTCAGGTTAGAATATGTCCCGGCAGACTGTGGTTAAGCCCGCATGCACGCCGCCAGAGGTTAGTCAGGTTAGAATATGTCCCGGCAGACTGTGGTTAAGCCCGCAGGCACGCTGCCAGTGATTAGTCAGGTTAGAATATGTCCCGGCAGACTGTGGTTAAGCCCGCATGCACGCTGCCAGTGATTAGTCAGGTTAGAATATGCCCTGGCAGACTGTGGTTAAGCCCGCAGGCACGCTGCCAGTGATTAGTCAGGTTAGAATATGTCCCGGCAGACTGTGGTTGCCCGCATGCACGCCGCCAGAGGTTAGTCAGGTTAGAATATGTCCCGGCAGACTGTGGGTTAAGCCCGCAGGCACGCTGCCAGTGATTAGTCAGGTTAGAATATGCCCCGGCAGACTGTGGTTAAGCCTGCATGCACGCTGCCAGTGATTAGTCAGGTTAGAATATGCCCCGGCAGACTGTGGTTAAGCCCGCAGGCACGCTGCCAGTGATTAGTCAGGTTAGAATATGTCCCGGCAGACTGTGGTTAAGCCCGCATGCACGCTGCCAGTGATTAGTCAGGTTAGAATATGTCCCGGCAGACTGTGGTTAAGCCCGCATGCACGCCGCCAGAGGTTAGTCAGGTTAGAATATGTCCCGGCAGACTGTGGTTGCCCGCATGCACGCCGCCAGAGGTTAGTCAGGTTAGAATATGTCCCGGCAGACTGTGGTTAAGCCCGCAGGCACGCTGCCAGTGATTAGTCAGGTTAGAATATGCCCCGGCAGACTGTGGTTAAGCCTGCATGCACGCTGCCAGTGATTAGTCAGGTTAGAATATGCCCTGGCAGACTGTGGTTAAGCCCGCAGGCACGCTGCCAGTGATTAGTCAGGTTAGAATATGTCCCGGCAGACTGTGGTTAAGCCCGCATGCACGCTGCCAGTGATTAGTCAGGTTAGAATATGTCCCGGCAGACTGTGGTTAAGCCCGCATGCACGCCGCCAGAGGTTAGTCAGGTTAGAATATGTCCCGGCAGACTGTGGTTAAGCCCGCAGGCACGCTGCCAGTGATTAGTCAGGTTAGAATATGCCCCGGCAGACTGTGGTTAAGCCTGCATGCACGCTGCCAGTGATTAGTCAGGTTAGAATATGCCCTGGCAGACTGTGGTTAAGCCCGCAGGCACGCTGCCAGTGATTAGTCAGGTTAGAATATGTCCCGGCAGACTGTGGTTAAGCCCGCATGCACGCTGCCAGTGATTAGTCAGGTTAGAATATGTCCCGGCAGACTGTGGTTGCCCGCATGCACGCCGCCGCCAGAGGTTAGTCAGGTTAGAATATGTCCCGGCAGACTGTGGTTAAGCCCGCATGCACGCCGCCAGAGGTTAGTCAGGTTAGAATATGTCCCGGCAAACTATGGTTAAGCCCGCAGGCACGCTGCCAGTGATTAGTCAGGTTAGAATATGCCCCGGCAGACTGTGGTTAAGCCCGCATACACGCTGCCAGTGATTAGTCAGGTTAGAATATGCCCTGGCAGACTGTGGTTAAGCCCGCAGGCACGCTGCCAGTGATTAGTCAGGTTAGAATATGTCCCGGCAGACTGTGGTTAAGCCCGCATGCACGCTGCCAGTGATTAGTCAGGTTAGAATATGTCCCGGCAGACTGTGGTTAAGCCCGCATGCACGCCGCCAGTGATTAGTCAGGTTAGAATATGCCCTGGCAGACTGTGGTTAAGCCCGCATGTGGTTCTTTGGTCATGATATCGACCACTGATTTGTCAGACCAAAACTCAACAACTAAAGGTCACCATGATGTAGCTGGAATGCAAGCTGCTGAACGAAAAAGTACGCACGCATGTTGGAAGCCCAAACTGTTCTGGGACCCTTTATGACGACACATGATTATGACGTCATATCCATATGACGTAATATTGGGTAATACGGCGTTTGCCAAAGAATATCTCCACTTTTGGCAGGAATTAGTCAATCTGGTTCAAAACGAGAGTACGACAACAGGATTATTTCCATCATATATATCGTTCAGTATATTCGCCAGCTATACAAACCAAGCACAGGAACGATCTTTGATTACATAGACAGCTTCTTTATTGCAGTAGATGTCACATTTCGGTGCAGATGCTAACACCGTTATCGACCAAGTAGAGTGAGTGAGTGAGTTTAGTTTTACGCCGCACTCAGCAATATTCCAGCCATATGGCGGCGGTCTGTAAATAATCGAGTCTGGACCAGACCATCCAGTGATCAACAGCATGAGCATCGATCTGCGCAATTGGGAACTGATGACATGTGTCACAGAGTCAGCGAGCCTGACCACCCGATCCCGTTAGTCGCCTCTTACGACAAGTCGCCTTTTGTGGCAAGCGTGGGTTGCTGAAGACCTATTCTACCCCGGATCTTCAGGGGCCTCGACCAAGTAGAACCCATCACTGTGAACAAGGAGAATATAAACATAAAGGGTATATAGAGAATACTACACGAGGTCTCATTACATACGAATGATATGAAACGAGTGTCCTTAGGTCACGAGTTTCGTATTATTCGCATGTAATGAGACCGAGTGTGGTATTTTATTTATTACCCACATTTTACATGCATTAAATTGACAAAATAGCGTATTTTTGTTATGTTTTTGGTTTCAAACCGAAACCGGTTTCATAAAGAGGTTGCGGAAGAGTTTTATACTGTGGTACAATATTAGCATGACGTCAAACTGTAAGAATAATCAACCGTTCTTCAGTTTTCAAAACGAGGTGTGTGAACTTCAAATGTCAAAAGGCGTGCAAAATGTGAGCAAGTTAATTGTGCACAACGTACATGAACCATGGGCGATACGTGACATCAAATTTCATGAAAAGTGCTTCGCTACATGTTATAAATTTTGAAAACATGATTTATTATATTTTTATATGTAAAATATTAATCAGATATTTGCACTTAAACACACGGGTTGTTTTCAATGGTTAGCTCCTCCAGACCTGCCTGAGATTCCTCAGAATCAGTCACAGGATGCGTAGATGTAGACTTAGAATGCCCCCCAAAATTATCTGAAGACCGTAATAGTCCCTTACTTCCCTACTATTTATTATTGGTGTAGCAGGTAATGTGACGAGTTATCTCCCTTAGACCAGTGCAGTGCGCGGCAATATGTTATGTCTGTCTTTGTGTCCCTTCGAGGCGTGAAAGCCAAACAATTTCACGTTCGCCATTAATTCATAGTTGTTCGTCGGAGTTTGTAGGTTGGAAACGAAGAAAACAAAAAGTTAAAGTACGCAGAGGCGAGTTTTTATTTGTGAGTACGGAACAATTAGTTAACGATTCATCGATAGTATCGATGTTTGCATCGTCAACTACGCGATACGAGTGCATCGATACAAAACACGTTTAGGCAATATATCAGGATATTTATATCGCGAGGGTCCATGATACATCGATGTATCGCCACAAGAGACGATATATCCCGATACTACTTAAATATTACTTAAAGTTGTAGGGAGTATTGCATAAGTAATAGGAAGGGAGTCTCTTTGAAATTTTTCTGAATTTTAAAAACAAACTGAACCTAAAAGGAATTTGTTTGTGTCTGCCATCTTTGTTACATGAACAAAGGAGTTAGTGTATCAGTGAAAGCATGTGAACAATCTCTGTGAACTGTAAAGACTTGTCTTTAAGTAATTGAAACATGTTTTAGTTGTTTGACAAATAACACCATTTATTAACAACTATGAACGATGTCTTAGCTTTGTTAAGAAAGAGAAGATAAAATTTAGAAAGCATACTTATGAGTTTTTTGCAGTGATTCTGGTATAAATTACTGTATAAATTGCCTGTGCAAGCATTGGTGCAGAAACACAACTTTCCAAGGGAAACCTAGAGCAAGGTATACTGAATATGTTTGATTGTACTTTCTTAAGCATTAAATGCTGAAACTTTATTACATGAACAGCCTTTTAAGTGTGTGTGAATGTAACACATGTTCTGCTGAATAACAAATAAAGATTCAGTCATTTTATCTATCATATATGTCCTGTTTTTAGGATTGTAAAGTATCGGGATACGTATCGTATCGCCATCACTGTATCGTGATGATAATCGTCTCGCAGGTTCCTTGCCAATACTTTCATGATATATCGTCTCGCCTCATTAAACTAGTATCGGGATATATCGTCTCGCCACTTAGGCCACGATACACAGCTCTATAACTTCTTTGAGTGGCATTTTAGAAGTTGGGAAGTACAATATAGAACAAACTTTATGGATAACAACTTCTTTTTATTCGTGAGTGCGACGTTTCGATACAGATTCTTGTACCGTTGTCAAGCATAATGGGAAATAGAAGGGGGAAGTGTATATATACTGGATGTAACAATGCGACAAAGAAAACAACATAATTAACATAATTGGCTAGGCAGAAGGCTAGGCAGAAGGCTGATGAAGCCAGAAAGTAGACAAAGGACAGGCGTAGAAGCCAATGATGTACAAGTGATAATGATATGTTTATACAGCAGTGAGTTTATACAGTAGATTGGGCTTGGTGGATGAGTGCATCATAGGCGGATGGAATGAAGTATCCTTGGTCTCGGTTGATGGTGAGCTTTTGGCGTTTGATGTGGATGGCTTCGGTGAGCTTGCGTTTAGTGAAGTCTGTTTGTTTGTTAGAGAGAATGGTGATGTCAGACCACTCTATTTGATGATTGGGGCTTGCTTTGATGTGGTCGGAAATGGCTGATTTGCTGTCGGAATTGGTAACAGAGGTCTGATGTTCTTTCACTCGGGTGTTGATGGGTCGGGAAGTTTCGCCTATGTAGCTCTGCCCACAATTACAGTTTATTTTGTAGATGACACATTTTGGGTTGTTGTTCTTTACGGTGGCGGGTTTTCTTCCATTGGCATGGAGAATGTTGTTAAGGTTGGAGGACGCGGAGAAGGTGGTATCTATGCCAGCTTGATCTTTCAGGAGGCGGCTGATTTGATGTGACGGTTTGCCAAGGTAGGGGATGGATATCTTGATGGGGGCTACATAGGCGAAACTTCCCGACCCATCAACACCCGAGTGAAAGAACATCAGACCTCTGTTACCAATTCCGACAGCAAATCAGCCATTTCCGACCACATCAAAGCAAGCCCCAATCATCAAATAGAGTGGTCTGACATCACCATTCTCTCTAACAAACAAACAGACTTCACTAAACGCAAGCTCACATTGGCACCCATGAAAGGCCACCTCCTCGTGGTGGGTGCTGGGTAACGCTAAGCGCCTTTCAACCCCCCGTTGTGGACCCGGGGGGGATATTTTGGTCCACCAACCCGTTTGCCGTGGGTTGCGCCCCTGTGTCGGTGGAGGACGGGATTCTGGTGGTTGAGGGCAATAGGAGCCTGGAACCGTGTTCCTGTTGCCCAACACACCACTTTGACCCTTACTTCACCTAGACGGGTGGTAGAATGGGCCCGGTTCTACCAATCGGCTGGTCACGCCGAGCCCTGTGCATGGTTCATCTTTTTTGCACAAACTTTATTATTTTGGTCTTGGCTATTTTGAATTATCATGTACAAATTATTAATAGATTAATATGCCTAGAGTCCTATGCCAGAAGGCGGTGGCTCATGGGCCAATCTGGCAATATAAACCGCTGAATTCTGTGTTTCTCCAGAATGATGTCATGGGCGAACCAGCCTGACATTTTTTCTTTCAGATTCTACAGCTATTTATGTTTTTATTTGCTGGAGTATAACATCCCTGTAGCCCTGGTGGAACAGCCTGGCTTCCGCTGTAACACCGTCCTTGTTGACACTCCATGGTGGGTGGGGAGCAGGGATGTTGAACACTTTTGAAACACCATGGCTTTTTTCCATTCAATCTGGTTCATCAAAACACAAACGTAGACATGTGGTATCTACATCATCAGATGATGGATCTCCTGACGCTGTCGAATCTTGGCCGAGATTCATTGTGATTTCATCTTCAGATGACAATCCTTTGAAACTGAACCCATTCGCTATTTCAAAGGGCATTCAAGGTGTCTGTGGGGAGGTGAAGGACGTAACACGTCTCCGCAACGGATCATTGTTAGTGGAATGTCTGAGGAAACAACAATCGGATAATCTGTTAATATTAAAACAGTTCGTCAATACACCCGTTGTTGTCTCGGTACATAGAACGTTAAACTCTTGCCGAGGTATAGTCCGAGACAGGGCGCATTGTCTTTCTGATATGAGTGAGGAGGACATTGCAGCTGAGCTGAACAATCAAGGGGTGATCGCTGTAAAGCGATTCACAAAAAAAAGAGATGATGGCACTATTACTAAACTTACTACTTATCTGTTTACATTTGCACTTTCGACTCTTCCGAAGTGTATAAAAGCCGGATACTTTAACATTGGGGTGGAGGTATATGTACCAACTCCACTCCGATGTTTCAAATGTCAAAAGTTTGGTCATGGGTCCAAGTTCTGCCGTAACAACACGGTCTGTTCCCGTTGTGGAGGCGCTCACGAGTCTTCTGAATGCACCAATAACATCAAATGTGCGAACTGCAACGGAGACCACTTGGCCTCATCCAAATCCTGCCCATTATATGATCGCGAAACAAGAATTCAAAAACTCAAACACACGAACAACATTTCTTATGTTGAAGCGAAAAAACTTGTTCCTCTCTCAACTACCTCAACTATATTGTACTCAGATGCAGTGTCCTCTCGTACCACTGCCTCCAGACCTTCCCTGACTTCAACAGCCTGTCAAACATCCCTATCTTGGGTTCATGGAAAAATCATCATCGATGATCAGATCTCTCCATCTCCGTCAACTATATCTTGTGCAGCTTCCCAGACAGAGCGTGTAGCATCACAACTTTCAATGGATCATTCATCTGAACCAGAATTCGTGCCGGAATCAACACCAGCACAGTCCAACATATCAAAAATTGGCAAAAAGGAGAAAAAGCAATCAAAAATGAAGACCAGAACTCTTCAGCATTTGGAGGTGCCTTCCTCTCAGACACCTTCAGTAAAGGTTCAAAATCAGTTTGAACCTTTGGAGATAGAGGTCAATTCTTCTCTCCCTAGCCATGGGAGAAAACCCCACTCTAATGTACGACCTCTCATTGAGCCTCCATGAACTGCTCAAATCATATTATTCAGTGGAATTGTAGAGGACTAAGGAACAATTATAATGATTTACAGTTACTGATTCAAGATTTAAAACCATCGGCATTTTGTTTACAAGAAACCTATCTTAAAAATACAGATCAATTTGATGTAAGACAATATAATTCATATAACTACTTTTCTCCTCCAGGGCCTAGAGCTACTGGGGGTTCTTCCGTTTTGGTTAGACGGGGTGTTATACATAGCCCTGTTCCCCTAACTACATGTCTTCAAGCTGTTGCTGTCAGACTGACTCTAAACATCGTTTTCACATTATGCTCACTGTATGTACCACCATCTTCTTCTCTTCAGCAGACTGATCTTCAGACTCTCTATGACCAGCTCCCCAAGCCATGTATCATCATGGGTGATTTAAACGGTCATAATCCCCTTTGGGGTAGTTCTGATACAAACAGAAATGGGAACATATTGGAAGATTTTATTTCTAACAACGATCTGTGTATTTTCAATGATAATTCGAAAACATACTTACATCCTGGTACAGGTACGTACTCTTGTCTAGATTTATCTCTTACTGATTCCGGTCTGCTTAATGAATTTGAATGG